GATGGACCCAATGTGGGTGAGCCAGGAAAAACAGAAAAAAATTCCCCTCACCCCCCCCCCCCCCCCACACACACACACACACCCGACACGAAGACACGTGAAAGGTAAAACTCTACATCTACATTTGTGGTGAAGTGGATGAAGGCATCATCGGCGCGCCGCCCCCAGACGGAGTTTTGACGCCCCCCCTGGTGCAGCGCCCCGATGCGCTGCATGCCCACTTTTTGCGCCTCTGATCAGGAGATCTGAACCTCTGGGTTCATGTTTTTGCAACTACATTTTCCTAATTTCTGTTTTACTATATTTCATTTTTAGAATATTAATGATGATTTGGGTCATCAGAGCAGAAACAGAACAACCCGAACCTCCTGGTAGAGAAACCCGCAGAACCGGGCCGAACCAGAACATTCAGAACTTTGATGGAAATAAAAGAGAAAATGATTCAATTCAAATTAAAATTTGAGTTTAACAGCATCAAGTCCAGTCAGATCAGCATTTCCTTTAAATCAGTTTTATAGAAACCAGTTTGTTTCTTTAAACTCGCATGTTTTCCAGTGTGTGCAGAAACTGCAGCATTTATTAATATAATATTTGGATTATTTTGGGGATTTTGACAAAAGTGTGAAGTTTTCTCCTCTTTTAGCCCTGAAGCTTTAAATTCATCTCATTTCTAAACATTTTCTAAATCTATGAAATTAAAGAAAATTAAAACAGAATTTTCCTTTTTCTGTTTCTGATTTAAACTCCGAGGTTTTTCCTTCACGGCAGAAACAAACATTTTCTGAGTTTCAGACATTCTGATAAGTTCTGCCGGGTTCGACCCGTTCCACGTTCACACCACAGTTTGTCTAAAATGAATATCGAATACACGTGAATATTTAAGTTACATCACAGACAGCACAGGGACTCTGAGTTCTGGACCGGTCCCGGCGCTGGTCCAGTAGAACCTCTTTGTCCTAGTCCAAGTCTCGCCTCCTGTGGCCTCAGAGAGTCCAGAAGTGCAGGTTGAGGTGCGGAGGCTCCAGAACCGGCGGTCCGGTCGGGCCAAGGCGAACCGGGCCGGCGCCGGTCCTGAACTCGGCCGGCGGCGGGTCCGGAGCGGACAGGATGTAGTCGATGCTGAACTTGATCTCCGGCTCGGATTTGTGGCGGCTGGAGGTCGGCGCCAGGCGGTTCTGGAGTGGGCCGGGCCGGTCAGGGGGCAGAGGGCAGAGGGCGGAGTCGAGCTGCGGTCGCCGTGCCGACGGGTCGCGGCCCCCTGCGGGGTCCCGGAGGCCGATCTTGGCGCTCCGGCGGCGGCGACGGCGACGGAAGTTTCCGTTCTCGAAGAGGTCGAGCATCGACTCACAGCCGGCGGCGAAGGTCCAGAAGTTCCCCTTCCCCTTCTCGTTGCCCTCCGTCCGCGGAACCTGCAGCCCAGAACACACCGGTCAGAACCGGCCCGTTTTACACACACCGGTTCTGATCCGCAGTTACTTTTCCTTTAACAGAAATCAGGCAGAATCAGAATTTTTCAGGTTCTGATGGATCCGATCAGAGAACCGGTTCTCTGATCGGATCACCTTCTGGATGCTGGTCTGGATGGAGCTGAGCAGGGCGGTACCAGAGCCAACACCAGTATTAGAACCAGAACCAGAATCAGAACTGGTTCGATTCATATCGGGTTGGATCGGGTCGGTCTTATCGGGTCGGGTTGGGTCGATCTGATCGGATCGGGTCGGTACCTTGATAAAGCAGCTGTTGAGCGACAGGTTGTGCCGGATGGAGTTCTGCCAGGCCCGCTGGTTGGACCGGTAGTAGGGGAACCGCCTCATGATGAAGTCGTAGATGCCGGACAGAGTGACCCGCTGATCCGGGTTCTGCTGGATCGCCATGGCGATCAGAGCGATGTAGCTGCCACACACAGAAAAGAACCAGTTCTGATCCGGTTCTGACCCGACTGAAACCGGTTCCTTGCTTCGGAGCCTCAGACGGTTTCCTATTTTTCTCTTTAAATTTATTATTTTCGTATTTTTTTGCTGCTTAACAATAAAATAAACAGAATATCTTAATGAAGTCAGATATGAAAACGTTTCTTGCAGGTTTGATAGAAAACATAAGAACAAAATAATTGTTTGAACAGGAATCTACTCTCATCTCAATTTAATGACATTTACTGCTAATTTAATTATAATCATATTTTTCTATAGATGTTTTTGTCTTTTTGTCAACCAGAACAGGATGTGAGTCACTTCTGCTTTTTCTATTTTACTGAAATTTACTTGATATTTTTTTTAACTATTAAAACTTTAAATTAATTGTTGTACAAAATAATTTTGTTTTTCCATAATATACAAATAAATCATAACTGAAGCAGATAAATATCCAGCTAGTGCTGGTCATTTATATATTTTAAATTAAATTCAATTTTAGATCAATTCAATTTTTATTTAGATATTTTTCTCAAACAGAATTTATTACAATAACAGAAGATAATTTTCATCATTTTCATTGTCATTTAAATAAATGTAGACTGCAAAGTAATACGACTTTTATGAGAATAATAATAATAATAATAATAATAATAATAATAATAATAATAATAATAATAATAATAATAATAATAATAATAAGTCTTCCTGCCTGTAAGCGGGTCTGCATATCTTCTTGTCTTCGTCCGTCCCAGAGGACGGGTATCCGTCCCCGTCATAGTTGAAACAGTTGAACGGATAATCGGAGTGATCGAACATGTCAGCAGCAGAACCGAACCGTCCCGACCCGAACAGAACCGAACTGACCGTCTGAAGCCCAGCAGCAGTTCTGTCCTGCTCCGCTGCCACCATGTTCTGCTCAGCCCGCTGATCCTCGGAGCTCCGCCGCTGCAGACGGGCCGCCCCCCCCCCCCCCCCCCCCCCCCACTCTCCTTTACCCGCCTCCTTCAGCCCAGATGGTTCCTTCCTCTGCCTGTTCCCTCGTGTTGCAGAAGTTTGATCTCATCTTCCACTTCACCTGAAACCAATGGGTTTTATTTTTATTGGGTTTGATGTGAGCGACTGAGTGGAGCAAAAAGTTTCACAGCTGAATTCTTTGAAGCAACTGAAAAGTGTGGCATGAATCTCCATTCACCCCCTTTTACACTAATGCCGCTAAATTAAATCCAGTCACTGTCTGAGAATCTGTGACAAGATATTCTCCATCTGAGATAAGCTGCTTTATAATCCAGACCTGCAGCAGAACCTGCAGCAGAACCTGCAGCAGGAACCGACCCGGTTCTGATGAGGCCGCCCCCATGTTGCCATGACGACCTGGGCTCCCGCTCCCTGAGATCAGCTTCAGCACTGGTGGGGTGTATGTATACATATGACCCTTTCAGAGGAATCAGCTTCAAACATCCAGTTACTGTCGGATCAGATCCTCCTCCTCCAGAACTGCTGCAGGACAGACGGTCCGGTTCTGGGTCCCGCCTCCATCCGGTCCGGTTCTGGGTGGTCCGTCGGACTCAGAGGCCTTCATGTTCTGATCTGCTGCTTTTTATAGCCTGGTTCTGAAAACAGCCGAGACGCAACAAACACCATGTTTACCTTCCTCTGTTCACTGCCACGTGTGTGTGTGTGTGTGTGTGTGCGCGCGCGCGCGTCTGGTAGACGTTTAGTCGACAACGGGAAGTTTTCTAGATTTTATCTATAATGCTCTATAATAGCTACTAATTGTTTCCGTGTCTATAAATTAGGGGATGTGTGTTTTCTAGGGCTCTTAAAGGGCCAATCAGGCGCTCCCCAGGGGGCCGGCTCTTGCCGGCCCAATCAGAAGGCCCAGGCTGTTAACGGGCCAACCGTAGGGCCCCTGGGGGCCGTGGAGGCCAGGAAAACAGCCTCAGGTCTGTGGGCCTCTGCGTGTGGCCCCGCTCTGCAGGACAAACTGATCCTCACTGTCTCCAGTTAGCATTAGCTGCTGTTATTTCAACTGTTAACTTTGAATTTTCTCAGATGTTTTCTCTCCATTGAACTCTTCCTGGTCTGTGTTTTGATTGGCTGGTTCCTTCCTGGAGGTGGGGCATCAGCTGACATGATGCTGCCATCACCTGCTCCTAGAACAAGAGAACGGACTTGATGAGACGTTCTTCCATCTGGATCAGAAACAGAAACAGATTACTCTGATGATCCGGTTCTGGGTCAGAAACGGACCGGTCCAGGTTGGCTTGTTGGTTCTGAACGAACCAATGGGTTAAAGGTGCAGGTACAAAAGTATAATATCAATATTAATATTCCGACTTTCTTTATAACACAGACAAACGGATCGGTCTCCATAGAAACGCTGGGATCTGGGATTAACTGGCTGAGCTCAAAGCATCAGGATGTTACCATGGCAACGCAACAATCAATGAGGATTTTTCTTTTCTTTACAGAGTAAACTTGTCTATAATTTAAAAAATTATTAAAAATTGTAAACAATTTTTAATGTTTTATGTTATTTATGCTGAAACTGTCCAATCCAGTTCATATTCTCATTATCAATAAAGAAATATTACATTTTACGTCTGTGTTCTGTGGTCAAATGAAATGATTTATGGGAGGCCCTGACGCTCTGGCTGGTTTGGACAGGTGTTCGGAATCTGATGAAAGCAATGACAGGAACCAGTTAGCCCAGTTAGCTAGCGCATGTTCAGATGATGGTTTATTAGATTTCTGCCAGTAAGAATCTCATCCAGCTGCGCAGCCTGACTGCTGCTGGAAGCCCGACCAGCAGGGGGCAGCAGGGGAGCCGGAGGTCACCGTGTGAGGTCGGAGAGCCGCGATCTGATAAGCTCCACACGGCCGCTCCCATGACGGGGCTTCCTCTGGAGGCCGGCAGCGGCCATTATAGCCGCTCGCGCCCTGTGTGTGTGTGTGTGTGTGTGGCCGCTCTGTGAGGAAAGGTTATCCAAACACAGCGGATCGCTGAGAACTGTAAACATGCTAACTCACAGATCTGGGCTGGCAGCCATTTTCCCGGCCGCTACGCGGCCATCTTTGCTACCGCATTTCTGTGTGAAACTGCAGGAGGTCGCAAGGGAATGAATGACCCCTGACCTTTCACACATGATGTCAGCTTACTGCCAAAAACATCAATGGATTTTACTGGACCGGTTTAGCTTAGTGAAGAAATTATGCTAAATCAGTTTCTATGGCGATATGCGTTGCCACAGAAACTTAACCAATTAATCTCTGGTTTGAATCCAGTTTATTTCTGTAGTGCCAATTCTCAACAAATGTCATTTTACAAAAATAAATCCTTCAATTCAATCACACACATTCCAGCTGATCATTTATTCCCTGCACAGTTATAATTATTAGTTACAATAATGAATAATTAATGTACTACACTTTTAGCTTTAAGTTGTTGAATTACATCAACCCCCCCATAGAAAAACAGGCTGGACCTGTTAAAGTTTACATTTCCTCTAAATCTGACCTCCAAAGTAAACTCAAAAAATAATTTATACAGTTTACAAATACATAATAATAATAATAAAAAAAAAAAAAA